GCTGGATCACACAAACGCTTTAAATCATACCTCATTATATATTTTTCCGTTTCTCGGTGGTTTCACATATGGTAGAGTCAGAGATTTGACAGTTTTCCCAGGCTCCCAGAAATCGTTGATGTAAAGTTGTTCCACTTTTTTACCCAAGCGATGAAATCTTTTGTTGATTCCGAAGAGATAAAGTGGACAAAATGTGGTATTGTTTGATGTAAACTGACGCAAGATGTCTTTACAAGCGTTAGTATCGCGTTCATTGTTTTGCGTTTGCAGGTGTTAAGTATCAGCGATAAGAAACCAGGTAGTATTCGTGGAATGACGATAGGGACAGAGACAATAAAACATTCTAGGTTCGAGGCAATGTGACGTGTGCACGGTAAAAAATCTAAATACTCGTGTAAACACGGACAGGAACAATGCTTCCGCAATGGAGTTGTCAAAGTAATTGTTACTTCAGCTTCAAAAGGGAGGGAAGCATGTGCATATTGTATCTTAGTTATAACTTTTTTCTTTCTCCATCAAAGGTTTTTTTAGTATTTTACAATTGCTTTCAAGAAACAAAGTCAAGAAACACGACATCACTTCCTATCTACATTTTTCTCCATTCTCTATAATTACCAAGACGTTATTGTTAAGCATTGGGAAGATCTAAATCGCCGACAGTCATTAAGTAAAAGATCAGCCATGTTGATGTCAACGGGTTATGGCGTCAGAATATAATGAAGAGGTAGAAAAATTCTTGAATCGTTTTCTTACTTGAGAGTGTTAACAAGTTTTAAAGCAAAAATGAAATTATATGAGAAATTTGAAACAGCAATATTTGTTGTTAATACTTCTTTTTATCCAGCAACTGGCACCGCCATGGTCGGAATACGCCTGCCACATATATTTTTGCTGTATTCGGCAGTGCCGGAAAACAGCTGTATTTTAGCACGTGCGGCAATTCGACAGAATTACTCTCTGAATTTACTTGAATATTACATTTAGAAATATAAATAGTTGTTGAAATAAGCGATTTTCTTGTTGTAATGAGGAAGATATGAAAATTCATAAAATCGCTGTTATCTCCGATGTTTTTTATCTCTGAAGTTTGGAACTATGTTTCAGCGTGGAGCAATTATTCTGACATTCGTTAACAGGCAAAATTCAGCGTAAACGTCAATGTCAGGTAAACACAGATTGAACTTATAACATTATATGTATTTTGGCTCGGGACAGAAAGACAAAAAGTGGATCGCCAGGGGCTCGTCACTTTTGTCTTTCTTCACCTTCGCAAAAATACAGCTCATATCATAAGACACGGGTTATGTATTGCCTATATACTGATTAACTTGCATTATTAATTCTTCGCAATAAAATTTGAGGGTTCGGATAATTTAAGTTCTATCGAAAAAAATATCTTTACAACTCTGCATGCATACATTTCACACCAAGCTTCCTGGTATATGGATATATCGGGATATCATCTTTTCATATAGAACTTAAAAGCACGTTATTAATGTTTATTTTAAATATCTTGAAATATGTATAAATTTCAAATTAATTTACAAGTTCAAATGAATGTCCATAATATATCTATAGAAAATGGTATATCTGGAATAAGAAAATGTGTGATAAAGGTTATATAAAATTAGTACAGCAAAGATCACAGCATCAGTTTATCGAAAAATGGTTTTAATGATAAAGGGAAATCTTCAAGAACTTGTAAACTACCTTGTGAAACTGAGGAAAGTATGAAGACAAATTCTCCTTAAATTTGGAACCTCAAATATGCATTTACTTATCGTAACTGGAATATGGATTGGCACACACAAGAATCAGAACTAGAATCTATGTAATCTATGTTGTAAGGACATCGTTGATTGATAGAAACATTTGTTAATATCAGTGTGAACGATTATCTGTTAAAAATATCAGATTACTTCTGTACTTACACAAATATTATCAAAATGCTTCAGATTTACGATATATGCAACATAAAGTCACACTGTCCCCTCTATATCAATGAAGTATGCGGCGTTTTAACAGGATACTTCAACCCCACGTAACGTTATCATCTAATGACTAGTGATGATAGACGTGTTGGTTGAAAATCACTCGTAAGCATTATCGAATGACAAGTCACGATTAAAGGACCGTGTGTACAACATCTCTGTTTAATGACTGTTAAGAAAAGCACCCATCATCTGGTACATTTGGCAACAATCACACTGCTACTCCTTTCCGAGTTTGTAACGAGACATCGTTTCGAACTAGATTTGCAGCCAACATATCATTAATGATGAATACGACATTTATCTCTCCAGATTAATGAAGAATTAGACATTTGCAAGTCAAGACTGATGAAGAGTAAGGCATTCACCTATCCAGGTTGATGAAGAATAAGACGGTCATCTATTCAGGTTGATGAAGAATAAGACATTCACCTATTCAGGTTGATGAAGAATCAGACATTCACCTATCCAGGTTGATGAAGAATAAGACATTCATCTATTCAGGTTGATGAAGAATAAGACATTCATCTATTCAGGTTGATGAAGAATAAGACATTCATCTATTCAGGTTGATGAAGAATAAGACATTCATCTATTCAGGTTGATGAAGAATAAGACGGTTAATATGTTAATGGTTTCTTTTATCGTGTTTTTGTATTTGTTAAATAGATTTTAAGTATGAACGAATACTTTTGTATACAATCCGATATCTTGCTTACTATTCGTTGACACTCAAACAATAGAACGTCCATTATTAGTTATCAGATATACGATATTTCGGACCCATAGTAAACACGTAAGTGAATAAAACCTTTAAATACATTATTAGTTGCAGTGTTGTAAAAATTGAATTGAAATGTTTTAAATGTATCAAAAATAAGACCCTTTTATGAAGACCTTTATGAAAACAAATTTCGATACTTTATAGTGGAAATGCCCGTGGGACCAGAGTGACGAGGAGATGTCATCAGTAGATGATGGACAGTCCTACCGCCTGATGTACATATTAACGGCGGGTTCTTTCTTCGGGACAACATGATCCCTACACTAATATCAAACTGGGTTCCCTAATTGGCTTGACATTTTATAGTTGTTCGTTTCACTACCAAAAGTCTGTTGACGAATTCTTTATGGTCTAGACTACAAACGAGGCACCCTTCAAGGAAACTCGCATTTCATTAAGGATTTTGATTTTTCTGCTGACCGTTGATTTGACAAAATTGCTGTAGCATGTTTAAAAAAAGTCATGATTATTCTTGTGTATCAAAATTGTTGTGATATTTAGAAAATATATCCAGACTGGTTAAATATGAATTCGTAAATAACCTTTCACAGACCTCTCTCTAAAACACACATAAAAGGATACGATTACTTGGGACCTCCGGGTTTGAGCTACACGTGTACCTACCATACCACTCCGTGCGCTCTCAAATACGCATGCATATCATTTCGATGAAATTCACAAGGGGTTTTAATTAAAGAAATTAGGTGGACCTGTTATTTGTTACAGAAAGTTAAATATGTAAGTTGGGAATATGTAGCAAAATCGTTGGCTTAAAGGGTGAAAATGTATTATATAACGTTAATCAATTGTAGAGTGGTTTATAAGCTGTATGCAACATGCAGTAAGAGTTACTTAATCAAAGATTCTTAATTCCGACATAAACAGGCCGGAAATAAAATTCTCAATTAATTGTACATTTTTAAACGGTTACCGTATCCAGTAATTGATTATAGCAATAGGTCATCTGTTCCGAATGTTCTAGTTTCTCATACACCGCGATTAACGGCTAAATCTAATTGGTTGTAAACACCTTGATCTGAAAATTTCATCGGTTTGATTATAAAATAAAAAAAAATACGTTATTGAATTCGATAGAGGTATGGTAATGCAAGCATAAAGCATATCTTTTATTATTTTATACGAGTAAGATATTCATTAAGTGTGACCTGTAATGAATATATCAAAAGGTTTTTGGCTTAACAAGCTTTAGAATAGATTTACCGTGATATCAGACGGTGTTCAACATGAATTGCTTTGCTCATCCATTTACTTATCATTATGCCTATTCTCAAGTTGGCATTAGATACGATCATTAAAAAGAATACTTTCCAAATTACATCGGTAAAAGGAAAATGGGGTGTATATATGCCTACCTCAATTCCATTTTGTATGCTATTTGGATATGTCATCGATTTGATTTATTTTTTTTAGATAATTAATATCATAACTGTGAAATGCATAATCCATCAGCGCCCTGTACTATGTCTAAGTGAATTATCTATATATCTTATATTATATGTGATAAATGTAGAAATAACGACAGTACGGACACGTGAATCGTATATATTCTAATAAGTGATATCGGGTGTATGGTCCAATGTTTGTACTGGATCCTACCAAAAAAATGTTCGTTGGATGCGTATTACTGGAATAGATGTATGATCAATTAAATGAATTGTCAAATTTTCGCGGCAATCTGCACCTTTATCAAGACACAAATATTACATAATTTACCACACATACACAGGATATAAAATAAATACTAGCTATAAAGTAAATTCGAGAGTGGTAGTGTAAATTTAGGTGTCTCGATAATCCCTTCGGCTGATGGACGCCGAAGGCCCTTTCATAAAAGACCAAAAACATCCCAAGTTGTTGTATGGAAGATGGTGATCAAAATATACATAATGTTTAATATATATTTTAATTTAAAATTACGTATTTCGTCAGCAGCTATCTTATCAGTATATACCTAAATCCATGTTTACGTCTAATATAACGACGGGAAGGCTGCCTTCACCACGGGTATATAGCAGATTACCATCACATCGTAGTGGGCGGTTACAGGTAGGCGTGGCAAAGGTTGTCAGTTTCTTGTCAATAACTTACTTGATGAGAAGTCGTATGTGTTGCCTTGGTGATGATGCGAACGCGTGGATAGCATAGCGAAATCTGTTGAAACTTACATAGCTATTTACTCAGTATCTCTAAAGAAAACAATGCTTGTTGGTTTGTGTTTAGGACAAACTCTTGGATAAATCTACGTATATTTCCAAGGAGAAGTCATGAGTTGTACTGATCTAATGTATCAGTTTTATCCGCCGTATTTCTCTCATAAAACGACACCTTCTGAAAATGGGGTGAGTGATATTCTTTCTATAACATTTCTTTATTTCTACTGGGAAAAAACAACAGGAAATCTCTGAGGAATTGTTGAAATGTAATTAACAAAATATTTGTAAAGGAAGAATCTATATATAGTTGACATTCTTTACCTAGCCGAAAGACATTGCTGAAGGGACTAAGATGCTTTCGTTCCACAGATACACATTACAAATAACACAGAAACAAGTTTAAGATGATAAAAAGCAGAAACAACTGGTTTCCAATCGTGATCAGACTTCAGGGTAATATATATAAACCGGACACTTCGGGTCGAATGTCTTATGAAAGACTGTTGAGCTGTGCAGAGGATATCATGTAACCGGTTTTATATAATTTTTTCTAGATTATTATTTCCACGCTTTACAAAAAGGAATTTTGTAAGTTTTGATTGAACAGACAGATACGTAATAATTAATTTGAAATAATTTTATTCCATGAAAAAGCATTCAAAACGCTTTCTTCTGAAAGGAAACAGAACGGAAACACAATACATGAGAGGTAAAAATGTTGTAATATTTTACAGAAGACGGTTTGAACTTGATAACATAATTAACTGCATTTGTGTGATGATTTCATTTTTGTTCCATTTCAACATCTTTGTTCAAATCTATAATTTGGTACACTGCTTGTCATGTTTTGCTAAATGTGTTTTTTTTAGAAACTTCCAAACCCAGTACCGTACGAAAGTCAACATGCAGCTCCAGGGAGTTATTGCTGTCCTGGAGATGTACGACACACTAAATTAAGGGAAACGGACCCAACTTCGGATCTAACAGATCCGGATTCACAGCCCAAAGGGTCTCAGTATTTGAACGCTAATTGTGTTTTGTTGACCTACTTCAATGGTGACACAGCTACAAATGTTGATGAACATTTTTCGAGAGCTCTTAGTCAGCCAAGTAGTTTTACACTGGAAAAAAATGGTTCCCAGAACCTTCGACGGTCTGGTAGGTGTTCTTTTATTTTATTTTGTATTTGTCAGATAATCAATGATATAACTGAATATGTAAATTCTACGTTACCAGGACACTGGACAGTATCGTTTTCATACTCTTTAATTATAAGAGCAAGGTACGGTGTGATTGTTAATTTTTAATACAATTACATATTGTAAAAGTTTAACCATATGTCTAACAACGAAAACAAATGTTTGCAAAGAGGATACTCGGTACTTGTATAACTTTGAATTTTAATAAGAAAGATATATAAGGTTCTTCACCTGTATTATATTATGATAAGCTTGGTTATCGCTACCATGTAATAATATTTGCAATATTATCATAATTATCAAAGGTTATGATACCACCAGGACAAGGTAATTGGCGATAAAAATGGTAGGATAAGTTCAGGATTTAAATTGCAAAAATACGTTAAGCTCGCATTTAACAAAATATCTCCAAATGTCTTTATTATGTACTGGAAGATAAAATTACCTAGATGATATACCTTACCGGGTAGGCATTTCGAAATGAAGAAGCTGCTTTTTCTATGTACTAAATGCTTTGTGATCATCATGTGATTTTATATATCTAGGCCATCTGATCGCACACAGGTTCGTCCATTGGTATGCAATTATTTCGTTCATTCAGATTAAACATATTCTCAATAACAAAAAGGAAAAATAAGACATTTTCGAATGATGGCCTTAAATGTCATTCAGTTTATATGAACTACGGATATAGGATATTAAACCCTCACATAATATGTTTTGATAAAGTGAAGTTCAAAGATTCTAGAAGTTTGCATGTCCAAGAGTGTAAAATGTAATGGTATTTATCATACTTGAATGTGCATTACTATAAGTGTTTTAGCAATGAGCGAGTGCTTGTATCGTGTCTCTTCTTGTCTTGATATTTATATTTCTGAATATGTAGATACGAATATGGCATTTATTCTTTAATAACCAAAAAGAAATTAACTTTGTTAACATATATTCATATATGCAATATAAATTAAACGATTATTTTTTTTTCTGAATGTGATCTCTACAGTACTTTAAATAAAAATGACGACTTTGTTACATTGATTAATGCAATTATAATTATTCCTAAAAAACATGTTTCTCTTTAGAATCGTTAAGAAAGTACTTAAAATATCTGTGGCGAGAAATTAGAACCTCTATTCAAACTTAAGTGGTTTACTTAAATCTTGAATCTTAGTCCGGAATTATTATAGTTTAAATCATTTCCATTTAGAACTATACCATACATTTTCTTCAGATGAGAAAAGTTGTTGAAGAGTGTCACGTGACAAGCGGAGTAATATGCTGGGTAATTTGTTCCGACACTGATAAATTGGTGCCGGAGTAAGATAAACAGTTGTACCGCGATTTGTCAAAATTGGAAGGAGCCTTATTGCTGTACGGTGTTGATTTAGTCCGTGTCAGGACGGGACTCCCATAACCGTATTTTAACAGCTGCTTGTTTGTGAAATAATTAGCACTTTATTGGTTCAGATAAGCAGCAATATATTATCTGCGGTTAATTGCTTCGCCACATTGAAAATACGATGACAATATTATTTAACATTGATAATTGTTTTTCATTAAATGGAAAACGATATTTCACAAGTCTTCAAGTTTCAGTTATCGGGCATAAATACGATACATTTTTTACTATTCAGATTGACTGACACTACAACGCCATATTTACCTTTTCCCTGTATTTCCTGTATAACAATAAAAACAGCTTTACTTATGCTGTTTATATTTATCTATATCGTTTGCGTTTTGACTCTATTCCTAATAAAATGCGCGTTTATAATACTGATATTATAATTATAACTGTAGATGTTATTTGTCTTTGAATGTTATTTACTAACAACAATATATACATGATTTTTTATCTTAATTGTAGATATTATATTTTTATCGCCGGCAACCATAAACAATATAGTTTTATTTATTGTATAGCTACCGATTTGTCATAGCTGTCGTAGTTGCATATTGTTTTTTTATCCGATTTATTTCGGTGACACATAACCCTATGGTAATTCTTCATACATCAATTTATCATTATTCTGCGTCTTATTGGTGTTTTAAGAAGTACGGTGGTATTTTTTTTCAAAGTGTCATATTTCGTGGACATTCAAATCGTATGTTTATGTGACAATTATCATATTAAATCACAGAAGTACGAACGTTTATTCAAAGTAGACGTAAAATGTTAAACACTACATGTTTTTTATTTATGATTATTTCTAGAGACCCCCTTGATGTGTCAACGGAAACTTCCACCTTCCTTCTGGAACAGTGCCTACCAACCTCCTAAATCAACATTCGCGCCGGGAAGTAGTGCGGACTACACACGGGATTATTTGACATCACCATGGTACACACTGTCCAATAACTGGCCATATCATTTCGCCGCATCACAATCTTACTCAAACACACCTGACTTTGCTCGTTCCTTTCCATATTCCTCTTTTGACTCAGCCAGTAAGCTTGGCCCATCATATCAATCATTAATGCTAAGGAGTGGATTTGACTCGAGAAATTCAAAATATGAAATGTCCAAACTTTCAGACTCTTTACAAGGCGCCGGAAGTTATTACGCCTCATTGCAAAGATTTGGTGCGGATTTATCTTCCAATATGAACTACGATTCGTCAGCGACATCATGTAAGTACATATGTGTATTTTATATACTTTGTTTTGATAAAGCTATAAAGAGAGAAATATAGAATTATCTTAATAGTAACCTGTTAATCGCAATATCAAAACGACAGCTTACACTATAATTACTCCTGAAAAGTTTAGATAATTTTAACTTGTTTGTTTTGATGTCATTAACATTTGTCTATGTGACTGTAGCTCATGCGAAGCTGACTATAAAGAAGTGTGAAAAGTGAAATACGAATTAATATTTAACCGATGTTTTTTTTACACAAAAGAAAGAAACGCGAATAAAAAAACCCAATGTTTCTAGGATGTTCAAGTTGTGAAATAATCCTGGTTAATGATTGTTGAATAAAATAACAGAAAATTTTAAAGCAAATATCAGTTAAATAAAGTAACATCAAATTCTATTTTTTTTCAAAATCATTATTTCCTGCGTCGATTAAACCAACGGAAGAAATTAATATTGTTTTTCTAAAAAAAATCTGATCCTTCCTCGTTTCATAATAAAACAGAAGAAAATATTAATCGATAAAAAGTATGGTTATGTTCGTTTTACTGTCAATACTACTTAATAAAGAATAAACGTAATAAAATATCATCAAGAATGGTGCAAGAACTCCTTTCAATACCAATTCAGATAACACATAGTAATGATAGTTAAGAATCTCTATAACTAGGTTCTGTATCTCAATTAGTGTATTTCTCACCGCCGGCACATTATCTATTCTATGTATGAATTCCTATTATTTGTAAAAACGCGCGCATATATGTTTTTGATTTGTTGTATTTTATAGGGTGGTAGGTTAAAAGTCTTTTGAACCAGAACTACTAATTATAAGAGTGAAACAGCAGAAACAATGAAAATGCCAATAGCTGTTATTGCTTTCCACCAGTGTGATAAATATTACTTTATACTAAAATGCCAAACAACAAGAAACAAATATTTACATTACATTTAAGAAAATGCATTTTGTCAAAATTACCTTAATTAAGGTTTTCAATGACTTTTGTCTTATTGGTTCTTAAACTCCTTCTTGTTAAGCAAACATGCATGCTTTACACAATAAATAATATTTAGGAAAAAGGTGTATTTTTGATATAGAATAAGAAGAGTCGGGATATTCTTTGTTGTAATATCTATCTATAGTAAAACATGTCTTACCTATCTCTATATAAAATCGATGTCTGAGCTTCCCCTCCATATCAGAAAACAATGTATCATACCTAAGTATCAACTCTACCATCATAAAACGATACAAACATGAATAAACGAAAGACTGTGGCATGATACTCAGAAAATCTAAAATATATGTCTAATTTACACCTTAAGATATTTTATATATTATCTAATCTTATGTACGTAAAAGATAAAAAAATCTAGTTGGAGTAGGATCTTTTATTCGAAGGTCGAGCGGATGCGGTTTTATAAAATGATATGCAACTCTTCATAATCAAAATATTCGGAATGAATAACTGCTAAAATAGCATGCAACATAACACATGAAGACACGTCTAAACGTCATTTGTCAATGATTTATAGGAAGCAATCACCAGGTTTTATTCCAATCTACCGAAGCAAGCGATGCACCCGTTTGGTGTGATAAGCGAGACCTTTCGTAGCCCGATACACTCCCGATAAGATACGACTGGGGGATTATAATACCCAATAGCCCAGGCGCTATTATAGTTTATTTGCCGAAACGAAAGTTGTTGAGCAGATTGGTGTCGGCGTGATTTGTTGTTATAATCAGATACATGCTTCTCCTAGATCGGCAAGTCTCCAAAGGGGGATCTGTGTTGATCTACAGGTCAAATGAGAAATTCATATTTACATATTCTTAAATTATCCTCAATAGGACTTATACGCTGATGTAAATGATATCGCTGGAAACATTTTACTTGTAGATAGGTATTGTAATATTTAGCTATGAATCCTTAATATTTACTAAATATTATATAATGATTGTGTAACATACATGAATATGTTTATCGACATGTCTACACGGGATGATACCTAAATTTGTCATTCAATAACATTTAACTACAAGTATTAATGTGATGTGTCATTCCTTAAATTATATTGATGTTTTCCTATTGTTTAGAATTGAACATTCCCAATTCAACTGTATATAACAGCCGTCACGTGTTTGCATTTAACATTAAACTACTTTCCAGGATAGAAGTTAAAGATCTCCACGATGATATAATATATAACGTATAATGATCCAAAATACTAGAATGGGCATTTAGGCAGCCAACAATAACATGTTTATACCATCTGTATATACACACTTTCATAAACGTGTGTTGTGACTTGAAGCTTGCTGTCCGGTTGTAAAAAGGTTGGGATGTTAAATGTTTTGCGATAATCACGTTCCAGATATGTTGGCGATTTTGGATGATTTCGGAGAGTTTATATTGATGGCCAATAACTACATGGTGATAATCGGTTCTTCTGTTTCAGCATTGGACTATCCATTACAGAGCATGAGGAAGGAGATTTGTTGGTAACTCATCTCATCATTGTTAAGTGCTGTTTACGTCAGAAACATCATTGGCGTGTTGTCAATCACTTATCATAACAGGCTGGTGACAATACGCGTAATGATATGGATAGCAACGACCATGTGTGATGGTTGAGCATGCAAATCCGGAAAACTGGAACTACACAAAGAAGCACTTTTACTGATATCCGGAAAGTGGGAATCCCTGGACAAGCACTTCTATGTCATCCTATAGGGAACCAAACAAACATACAATGATCGTGAAAGTGAAACTAGCATTCTCTGTTATTTGGGATCCGTAACAATATACATCATGTACATGGATGTAAATATGTGATTGAGCATGAATAAAAACTACACAACGTAATTAAAGCAAGATATGGTAAGGCCGATATGGAAAATACATCGAGTAGATGTTTTTGCAAATTAAAGATGCAAAATTGTCTTCTTAGATATTTAATCCGAAATATCGAATGACATCATGAGTTCATTAATGGTCTTAATGGTCAGTGATAGACTTTTGATGTTGAGTATATTTTCTGTGATGGACATACTCACAATAGGAATTGTTGCACCAAGGTTGAGTCAAGAAATGGACACCTATATGAAAGAGATATCCGATTTAATGATCTGTATATATTTCAAAGAGAATATTGTCTGATTATTTTGTCAATAAAATGAATAAAACAAAAGTATTTTGATCGTTGTTTAAAATATCTCACATGTGAGATGAAATCTCACAAATTACAAATTTGTAATTGTAAAAAATATAACACGGAATGAAACGAGAAAAGTTCAAAGAGAACGGCAAATATTTATTTTTACGCATTTAATACAAAAGAGATCATACGGTGTTTGATGAGCATATCTATCGGGAACGTAAGTGGTTTGATAAGCTATAGAAAGCAAAAGCCAAAATATGCGTTAATCGACTGATGTAAAATATAATTTCTTGGAGCTCAATTTCCGCAGTTTTTCAAAAATTACTTTTTCGTGTGCTCTTGATTTCGTGAATAACGAGTCCCCACCAAGTCAACGAAAATAAATAATCCATGAAATTTAAAGATTTAACTGAAGCCGTGAAACGGTAAAACGATATAAATTATTCCACAAAATGTTTGATTTTTTTACATAGCGTGATTGCAGAACACGGATTTTTGGTGTTGTCAATTCTTATCCAAACAGTGTGTGAAAACGTAGGGTGTTAAAACAAATAGGAAAAAACACGACTGATTAGGAGTATCAATAGATCATGTATATATGAAAGAAATGCTTCGAACTATCAACACGAAATCAGCTTGTTGCTCTCTGATTATTAGTTAGTTTTTCAAATGAGGTTTTGATGATACCATGCTATCCTATAAAATTGTTGACTCCATTCTTAAGTTTTATAGTTTTTCTTCTTTAAGCCGAGAATGTATTTAAAAATGAGCATCACTCTTTTCAAAGATCTTTTTCATTCACAGATTTTGTGATAAATTACATGAAGAAAAACAAAGTAAAAACAGATTAACATTTGTGGTCATCAATAAATAGATATTTGATGGTACCAATCTGATTTCCAACTAGCAAAATGGTATTTCGTTGTTACAGGATATCCCAACATAGTGCTTACTAAACAGATTTTATAAGAAAGAATTGAAAACTATTGAAAGTGAAAGTGTATTTTAAATATCAAAACTATTTATTCGGAAGCTATTTCGTGAAAGGGACCGAACGTGGTGGGTGCATTCTGGTGTTTTACTTCGGAAATATCAAACAAATTTCTTGAATAGACACGTTAATAATGTTACCGCTTGAAGTTATATTATAGTAGTCCAATGCCACTACCACGACGTCTCTGGGGTACCAATATTAGTTATTAAAACTCATCTAATTCTTTTGGGTATTTTTGGGTCAAATGCATGTTACATTGTGTCGAAAATAAAAACAATAAAAAGATATAATGTAAATGCTTTATGTGAACATCAAGGGTAACGATATTACAGAGTACAGCACTGAATAAATTTTTCACATAATATCGTTAATCAAATTATATTGTAATAAAGACGTTGGCAGAATATGTTAGCATTTCCATTAACATAATTATAACTTATCTTCTAGCCGAAGAGTATAAGCAATTCTTTTACCTAACACGCACAATAGTCTTAACCAGGGCGTTTCCAATACACATAAATGACTGGAGAACTGTCTGGAGCTGATTGGAAGATACCCTTGTCCCTACCCATTATCCTCTTTTACCCAGTTAAAACGTGATTCTGCATAGTTCGCTATTGACTTCAAACCTATGATGGGGCAGAGAAAACCCATTAATGACCTCATACCATGTCATTAATAGGTGTACAAATATCATTTCAAATACTAATATGTTTCAGTAGGAAAGTATAAAAACTTAAACTTCAATCAGGAGGAATATTTTGTAATTAGCTAATGCATTCATATGATTACATAAAACGTTCAAGTCGGCGGTCGCTGTGGTACAAGTTATGAAAGCTATCCGTTTCGCTGTCGGTGTCTAAGCTAGTACGGAATTTCTGGTCGTGTAATGTTCTTCTTGGCAGATCCCTTGATGCCATCGACTTATTTCTGTAAAGAAATGATAAACCCCGCTTTATTGACTTTTCCTTTTGGTAAGGTTATTAAACAGCTATGCTGGGATCTTAGCTAAGCACACGGCGTGAGGATCGCTGCGGAATTAAGCGCGAGTAAATACCCTTGTACAGCAGCTGAAACTCAAACGTGTGATATCAAGGTTGGACACGCTATGATGTTCATTGTAACATCCTACATATACAACATGGTTATCTTACTGTATATGTTAATGTATAATAATACAATAGTCTTTAGCCAAGGTACCGACACATCCCAAACATAAATGGTCAAGCATGCCATTTCATGGTAACGCCTCGGAGGACTGAAATTCAAAAGCATTCTTAAAAGGTTGTACAATGATAGACTTGTGAATACAAACTTAGTATATCTTATCACCAGATCTTTCGCACATTTAGGGATAGCCGACGAATTTAATCTGCGAAATCTAGAAGCGAGTTTGGAATATCAAAATAGGTGAAAAACAGTTAAATTTATGAGAAGTTCATGTATGACTGGAAGTAGGACAGAATTCGATATAAAATGAATTGTTGTCTGTATTTGAAAGTTTATGCTGAAATAAAGCATTCTATATAACGTTTAGTAGAGATTCCCCTGTGGAATGCTTTTCTTGATGGCATTGTTGATAAAGTAGTTGACAGCGTGTTCGGTTAATAGCGTCAACAGTTTCACGGTTTTTCTATTTCTTGTTATTGCGAAGGATATTCCCTTTAGGATAACTTCAAATAAATGTTGCTTGAATTATCTCAACAAATCACGAATTTCAAATTTTATAATTCCCATTTAGTGAAACATGATTTTTAGGAGGACCTGGGAATAAATGGTTGAGCTTGAAAAAGAAGTGAAGGAACATAATAGCTTTTTGCTTTTTAATCATCATCACCACAAGGAAATTAAAATTTCGAAAATTTAGGCGACTAGGCCATTGATACACTCTTAAAGTATTGGAGTTGTGCTAACTCTATCACATGAATGAATTTTCATAGGAAAGCAACCTATTTAAGACAAGTATTATATCATTGCTATAATACTAAATTAATTATAAACACAGAATGTTTTCTCCCGTTTCTAGTGAATTCAACATTCAAAAATGATAATACTGATATTGGTATATTGCAGATAACCATAATATAAATGAATAAAGCGTTTGCGCGCGCACACGTCTTGCTATTTTGATCCTTACAGCATATGATATGTCGTTTGAGATAGGAATGTATCTGTCGTGTTGCTAATGACGCGGTCACAGGTAAACACGTAAGTGTTTGTTTTGTACATTGATACCTATGTAACCCAACATCTCACAACAAACAGGTCCCGCGTCCGCCTCTACGCCACCACAATAAATATTTACATTATTTGGAAATGCATTTAAAGAATTTCTGCATATACACTTACTACACAAATTGTGTTTTGAACCTTTATGTGTTGTTTCTGTCAGGGTCCTCAAGTCGTCAGAGAAATATCTTGTCGATGCGTGTTGCAATTCTGCAAGATGTGAAACAAAAATAATGTGTTTGTGTTTTGGATTAGTTACCAATGATACATTTAGAAACAATGTACACAGCTGGCAAACTAAATGACCCATTTAAACGTATGAAAGTACTTCTTTCAAAAAACAATTTAAAGAAGATATCACCATTTTGAAGATGATATGTAAACATAATTGAAGTTCCCATCCCGTAGATAACTATATATTTAATCAAATTATCGGAGCACTGAATAAAAGTAAAACTTGAGTTATCATTGAAATACACACTAATGTTAGTCTATTGTCTGTGATAAAAAGTTCTAAATCTTCCTGGAAAGAATAAATGTAATCGGTTAATGACAGTGTTATAGTACCTGCATTCGATTAGGACTTCTTTAAATATGATAGATAGCCATATTCTGATTCAGACAGTTAACATTTTAACAGACATACTCATTCTTACTTAATCACAATAACAACGATACTGTTTGTTTCAGCAATTTGATGATAAGACAGTCATGAAGTTAAAGCTGATCTTGCAGCATACAAGTAGCTGAAGAAAATCAAATGCACGGCAAAAACACTAACGTCCGTCATCTTTACCCGGTAATTATATTGGATGAATTATCACACTTTTACGCAAACCAAGGGCAAGGCGTTTCTGTTGCGCAATACAGCTCCAACGACACTATTTATCAACATGAGTTATAAGGCATTCGCACGGCGACTAGCAGATGAAGAAAATTAGAATGATAGAATGAAACATTCGAAGCATGTTCTATAATCAGTTTAAAAACAACAGAATGTTGACAAGTGATGTGTTTATATTTATATGCATATTTTGGTATGGGGAAACAAAGAAACTCTACATGAAAAATTGGATAAAGATGTCAGTTTTTCATATATTTTCTGTGAGCAAATGAAGTCCTCACGGTCATGCGAGCGTGTGATGTAAATGTTTATCACTAGACGAAGGAGTCTGGTATTCCTATTGCGGTTGGAGGTTTGGGAGGGGGTGAAGAAATATTGGAAGAAAATATAGGGAACAACGCGGCGATATGTACGGTTAATTACAGTCAAGTCTGAACCCAGCAAACGAAGCCTGTGATTTGCTTGGTGTCAGAGCTGACTGATGGCTCTTTGTAACATTATTGCCTCTAACATACATTTCGCCAATAAGGCATATCTAGAAAAGTACATATGTCAAATTTTCATGGTAAAGTTTTGCCGTGTTTAGAACAATTGAAATAGTTTTAGCGTGTACAGAAAACAGCATTAACATCGCTTACTTACATAATTCATTTTCTTGTTTAGTGTCTTGGCATTTTGTACAATGTATTTGTAAAACACTAATTGGAACATACTTGGAGGCACCTGATATTTTGAAGAAGTCTATATGAAAAAGATAAATATTTTAAAACGTTTTCTCTTCGTTAAATCCTGAAATCAATGAATCGTGAAATAGCTCTCTCGATTAAGTAAACTTTCAAGTTTATCTATAAAAAAAAAAAAAAAAAAACCCGCCACGAAACTTCATGATATGGCGTGGTTCATTCTGTTCGCAATCAGAAATCCTCTATAAAACAGACAAAAAGAGAAAAAGACAATGAAAATCCT